AACAAACGGACGAAAAGTTATGCGATTATTTCAGCATGGCCGACTGTACTATGTGATAACAAATACTGGCAAATGCGAGTGTGCAATTCTGAGCTTGCGTATTCTGTCATCAAATATTTCCATTTTTCTATTCGCTTGAAGACATAGGCTGCAATGACGTCATGAAAAACAGCATTAACGAAGGCCAAGACTCTCCACTCGACTGCCAACTTAAAGCTGGTTATCTAGAATAGTCAACAGCCCAAGTTTTGACCTACCTCGCCGAGGGTTCGCCAAATAGAACGATGCGAAATCGTTGCAAATCTTGCACAGGATTCAACAGTGGTAGCACACTGCCTGAATCAAAACTACAGTATTTAAACAATAAAATGCAAATATCTCTCTGAATATAACTAATGTTTATTAACCATTTATGCAGATTTATACGGCGAAAACTTTTCGTGTAAAGAAATTTTTTTCATTACCTAACACCGATACCGCGATAGCGTAAGACTGGCGGAAATTTTGCACTTTGTAGTACCACAAAAGTACATCGCATCTTTGCCTCTATTCGCCTAAGGGGAACGTTTATGCAGGTCTAAACTTCATGGTATTTAAACGCTTGCATTGCATAGGACACACAGCCGAGTCTCAAAGTTCGGTTGAACAAGGACATGTCTAAGCCCAAATCAAGTTGCCACTATCCTTAAGCAAATGCAAGGAAAATGAAACAAAAAATAACCGCGATGTGGAGTAGCATTCACCAGAGGAAACTTGCAATACCGCCGGTAAATGTCACATTCCATCTGATACCGAATTCGCATGGCGATAACTGTAATTCAAAGTAACTTATTTTACAACAACGTTGCGGCAGTTAACACTGAATACAATCTGTACAAGGGGCTCTACCGCAACTTTGCACAACCTTACCCTTTGACTATTTATAAACTTTGATTTGAAACCAGAGCATAGATCCACTCGAGGTATTCTTTGCCAGTGCACACGATACTCTTGAATTCGCTTTATATTTAGTTTTAAGTATTGGTTCAATCACTGCTAAATTTGGAACAAGACCCGCAACGAGTTGCATCTGAAGATGGCGAGCCACATGAGAATTGATTGCCCTGCTCTTTCGGATGATGGGCTTCAAATTGTGAAGTGAAAGGGTATGAATATCACTGTAGGGTTTCCAACGAAGGCGGGCGGATTATTTAGTCAGGAGACACGCAGGCAAAGAGGGCGTACACACATTCAATGACGTCTGCCAGCGGCTAGTAGAGGCATTCATTCGGAATCGACCGCGTGAATTTTTTCTTCCTCCCATCCTTCGATCTGACATTACGTTCGTTCTTCTTGCGATGATAGACGTATCACATGCTATTTCATTGTTCATCGCTCGTTTTCACTCGTCACCAACATTTATTGGACCTCGCCTACCTGACGCAGTTCGCAAAACATCAGAAACATCGTATCAGGTCACGTAACGTCGCCTTTATGGTCATTTGAGATCTTTGCACAAATTCGCTGATTCTAGCAGTGGCTTCGGCTTTCATAATTTGATATTACAAATTTGACTATATACAACTGTTACTGCCAGTAAATCGAGGTTACCAGGAGCAAGAAATAACTTGACACGTGTCCGCCATGGAAACTAACCCTGTCGAAGGTCGTTCATGCCATTCCTAAACCGTTATATGGCTGATGGTAGCAGCGCAGTCCAACTAGCGGAAGAGAAACTGCGCCGTTGACTGTGAAATACAACAGCAAGTGATGGGAGTTGCGAATGGAAACGTTTTATTTGATGCAGCTAAATACGTTGTTAATTAATACTCATCGAAGTACAACGAATAACGTTGTGGTAGACATTCGTGGTCTATCTATTAAGTAAATCTGTATTCTGTTTCGTTCGCGCACCAGCATCCTGCACGCGAATGTGCTGAAAGACGATAACTCCTCCAAATCGCAGTTATCAGTTTTGGAGGAATTATTCATCTCTCAGAATATTGGTGTACAGGTAAGAAAACCTTAATATAGCAAAAGTGCGTACGAAAGCACTTTATCCTTAAGTTAACGCAT